TATTTACTTATAGGATAATATGATATTATATAAATATAATATATAACTTTATGAGGAAGAATTGGGTGTTATATGATTTAGGTATGAAAATGATCTATGCGTAAGTATATTACGTGATTATGTGACTATGTGTGAAATAGAGTAAACTAGGTAAGTATAAGATATGTAAATATATGACTATGGAACAAAGTATGTAATAATACAATGTCATTTGATTTATGATTTTGGTATGTGCATGGAGACATGAAATGGATATAGGTTATTATATATGTTACATGATTATATGCATGTGTGATATATGCTATGAGACATGCCCAATGTGAAATGAAATAAGCCAAGTGACTATATGAAATATGTGAGATATGAATATAAAATCATATGAGAAGTGAAAAGAATTACATGAAAATAGACTAAGTGATTACATGTATATGTGAAAGAAGCTATGAGCTTATATGAACATGTGATATGATATGGAATACATGATTACACATACATATGGTATGTGACAGAAGAGAAATGACAAGTAATGTGAACTGTTAAATGACAATGCCCATGTTATGTGTCATGAGAGCTAGGGGTATAGTTGGCATGCCAAGAGTCGAGGGTCTATGTGGTCATCGGGACATATATGTATTCTTTGGAACATGTGTGAAGTCTGGTGAGATACATACTTGATCCCTAGCATATGTATATGATTCTTAAGGAATGATATGTGGTCCTTCGGGACATTGTGGTCCTTCGGGACATATATGTATTCTTTGGAACATGTGTGAAGTCTGGTGAGACACATACTTGATCCCTAGCATATGTATATGATTCTTAAGGAATGATATGTGGTCCTTCGGGACATTGTGGTCTTTTGGGACATATATGTATTCTTTGGAACATGTGTGAAGTCTGGTGAGACGCATACTTGATCCCTAGTATATGTATATGATTCTTAAGGAATGATATGTGGTCCTTATGGACATTATTATATGGCACTATGGTGCAATTCTATGCGGCACTACGGTGCAATTCTATGTGGCACTTCGGTGTATTTATATGAGATGTGGTGACAGCATTAGTGCACAACCTCCATAAACTCACATATCTATAGTTCTCACATATGTACATGGGTTAATTCAGAGATATGAACAAATATATGTTAGTGGTATGATAAATGTTATAGAAATGATATGATGTTGTGTGTGTATAGTGTTTAATTGAAAAGGTTAAGCATAAAAGTATGTGATTACATGATAAACTGTTAATGATGAGTTATGTGTATGTATGTATTTACTGTAATTAATCTGGTATGATTTTATATGATACGAAGAAAGCATGTAATTTGGTATAACATGATAGAACAGAACATGCATGTATTGATATATGTTATAAAGTGCATTATAAGTTTTTATGCCTCACTAAGTCTTCGACTTAGCGTGTGATTGTTTCACACGTAGGTTTCGAGAAGAGTAAAGAGTAATGTGGAGCAAGACAGGTCAGTTCTCCTTACCAAATATCAGATCAGAAAATATATGTACTGGTTATAGAGTGTAGTTGGCATGTAGTCTAAAGATATAAATTGTATGAACTCTGATATATTTTGTAAACGTTTTGAATGAGTTAACTGTTATCAAAGTTTTTAAATTACTCACTATTTTATACGAATAAATGTTTGAAAAGTCAATGTGACACTTCGGACTCGTATCCGGGTCGGATACGGGTTGGGGGTGTTACATTGAGCCTCAACTTTACAACGAAGGGGGCTTCCCAGTTTCAGAGCCAATTTCAATTTCACAGCGAAGGATATTGGACTCGAGACAACACAAGTTCAACTTCACAGCGAAGGGACGGCTGGTTGTCAACAAATAATTTCCCAGTTCCAGAGCCAATTTCAACTTCACAACGGAGGATATTGGACTCGGAACAATACAACTTACTTGGATTTCAACTTCACGACGGATGATATCCAATTCCAGGCTCAACTTCACGGCGAATGGGCTACCCATGGTTTCAACTTCACGACGAAGGGAATCGTACAAACAAGCATCATCCTCTCTAGATTGGATTTCAACTTCACGACGGATGATATCCAACTCAGAGAATGAGTGTCTTTCAACAAACTTTCTAGTTTCGAAATCAATTTCAACTTCACAGCGAAGGATATTGGCCTCGAAACAACATACTGGATTTCAACTTCACGACGAAGGATATCAAATTCCAAGGCTCAACTTCACAACGAATGGGCCATCCACGGTTTCAACTTCACGACGAAGGGAATCGTGCTCACCATTGTCTCTCTTGAGATAATTTCCAAGTTTTGTCTCTCTTGAGACATTTTCCCTTGAAACAAAATATTGTCTCTCTTGAGACAGTTTCCCTTGAAACAAATATTGCCTCTCTTGAGACAATTTCCCTTGAAACAAAATCTTTGAATATCTTTTCCTTGAAACAAATTTCGTTTCCCTTGAGGCAGTTTCTTTTAGAACTAAGTTTTTCTTGAGACAGTTTCTCTTGAAACACAAAAAAACCCTCGAAATTGTTTCTCTTGAAGAAAAAAACCTTTGAAAATGTTTCTCTTGAAACATCAAACCTTCGAGTTCAACTACGCTCAGCTTCAAGACACATCATTTACAATATAACTCAAGGCTAGAAGGGTTATCTGCCAACAAAGACCTTCGAGTTCGACTACGCTCAGCTCCAAGGCACATCATTTACAGCATAACTCAGGGTTAGAAGGGTTATCTGTCAACAAGGAGCTCAGAGTTCGACTCCACTCAGCTCAAAGGCACCATCATTTGCAGCATAGCTCAAGGCTATCTGCTAAAGACCTTCGAGTTTGATTCCATTCAGCTCGAGGGCGTATCAACCGCATTGCATTAGCAAGGAACTACTTTTCGGTCAATTTTTACACCCAGGTCTTTAAATCGAGAAGAAGATCAAGGTCGACCAAGATTGGCAACAAAGAGTCACTTTTCGATTTATCCACGATTTCAACTTCAAGAAGAATGATATCGTGCCCAATGGATCGACTTGATATCGTGCCCAATGGATCGACTTAGTGTCACAACAAACACTATCAAGTCTCAAATCAAAGAGAACCGGACAAAAACTGGTTGTCTTTTTCATCTTTGCCCTATTCTTGTTAACACAAAAATATGCAAAGAGGGGCAGCTGTAGACACCTGTTTTTGTCCGGGTCTACAAAAATATTTTATTATATTTATTTATTATTATTATTATTATTATTATTATTATTATTATTACATGCCCTACACGCAACAACCATGATTTAGTAAGATTCAGAAAATAAATTAACGTATTTGAGTCTTATTGAAACACTAAAACCAACTTATTTGAGTCCTATTGAAACACTAAAACTGAAGCATTTGAGTCCAAGTAGGACTTTAAATTTAAGCTACAAATAGGTTTCTTTAGACTATAAATAGACTCAAGCATCAAGAGGAAAACACACAGAGAAAAACGTGGGACCACATTCCAGAGTCTGAAACACAAAATACCTAGTGTGTTGTTGCTTCACACGATCCCAAGACATTTAAATCCAAGTCCGGGGTTACACCAGTGGTGCAAAAGCAAGCAAGAAGAAGCGCTAAGGATTTGTAGCTGAGCTGAATACACGGACTTTAATTTCTATTTTTAGTTCGAAAGGTTTTTTTAATTGCTTTTGTTGTTTTGGAACGTGTTTGTTTGCGGAATTTTACAATTGTTGTTTTTTTATGCTTTATAAAATACCAACGCTGACTGTTTTGAAATGGACGAGTTCTATATTTGTTGTGTTTATTTCACATGTTGGTGTTTTTCATGTTCATTTGTCATAATAAATATGAATTAAGAAATGATAATACATTATTTATTATTATATATTTATTATTTATTTATTTATTTTATTATTTATTATTCATTTTTTCCTTTTTGTTTAACATTTAATATTTCATTTTGTCATTTACCATTTTGTTTATTTTTTCTTCGGTAGTAATTTCAACCGAAAGTAAATAATTTGAATCGGGTTTTTAAATTTCAATTTCAATTTTCGCAATTAAAGACAACCGGAAAATTAATTGGTACTGAAAGGGCGGTTCAAGGGTGCTAATCCTTTCTTGACCGTAACTGAATCTCGAACCCGACACGTTTCTGGTACAACGCATATCAGGTAAGATGGTGTCCGACCCACCTAAATTTATTTTCAAGTGGTCGGTGGCGACTCTAACCCAAATTCATTCAAGTCGAAGCTCAATTCCGAGGTCCAACCGAAAGGCGGTCGCGACAATATTAGATGAATATTTTTTTATCTATTCGCTTAATTTTACTAAATTACCATAAAAAAAATAAAATTATTTCATCCGTACCCAATTTTATATTTTATAAATGAATAATAAGATAAAATATTTTTTCAATATTAAAAAATAATTTAAAAGCAAAGACATCTGACATACTAAATATTCTTTTACAAATACCTACATAATTGTTTTTATTATTATAAAATTCTAAATGCAATGTTGATCCATTAGTAATGTTGATTCGTGGGTTTAATTGGGCTGATTTCAATATTATTAGGGTTTGATGGTAGAATAGCTTTTATATTTGGGCTATGCTTATGAGGTATTTTAACAAGGACGGTTTTCGCATTTTGTATTATTGGGCCTTGCTTTTAAATATTTTCTTCATAAAGGAATGGATTTACACAAATAACCCGAAGCCACATGAGACTAGGAATATTAATTTAATCCGAAATAGATGAATTTTAATCCGATCTAATATGATAAGATTGATTTTTAACCATATATATATATATGAAGTGTAAATTTAAGTAGTGGTTTCAATAACAAAGGAAAAGCACCAGTTTTATTGATAAGAACTTAGTAAAGCAACGTTACATTACATAATCTTAAAACTAAGGTAACACCAACACACTATTGGTCGAGGGCCGACAGTTTTATTCAAAAGGGAGGGTGCAAGGAAATAAAAGTCATACCATGAAGCAGCAGGATAAGCTATTTATTGGTTTTTGTTGAATAAGGTGGAAGAATCCGTCATCCTAGAGATGGCCTTTTCGAATTGGCTCCACTTTTGCTCCAAGGTCCCTGTATATCCGATCGACATCCTCACCAGCCCCGGCGATATTCCGGCAAGGGCCTTTTCTTTAGCATTCAATTCACTGCTGGTACTGCTACCAGAGCAAGACATGAGAGTCTCATAGTAACCCAAGCTAACCGCAATGAGCCCGAATTGAGAGCTGTTCTGCAAGTGGTGCATCAGCCTGTTAGCGTTTTCTTCGGATTCCATGTCGAGACAAAGAAGACCGCCGAACCCGTAGCCCTTGTTGGCCATGGAATTCAATAGCAGGTGTTGAGGGTGGTCCTCAAGGCCAGGGTAGACAACCCGGAGACCAAGTTCCTTCATTCGGGTAGCGTATTCCATGGCTCTGCGGCAGTGCTCCTTCATCCTCAGGCCTAAATGAGGAATCCTTTCGGAGAGTTCAAAGGCGACCTTGGCGTTCATGGTCGGGCCTAGAAGCATCAAAGCACCTTGATGAAGGTCCATCATGGAGTTCACCAGGCTTGCAGGACCACAAACAGCACCTGCGATGACATCGGCCCCGCCGCTGATGAACTTGGAGATGCTATGGACAATCACATCAGCACCAAGCCGAGCAGGGGAAAGAACCATGGGGGAGAATGTGTTGTCTACGACCACCATTATTCCTTTGTCGTGTGCTAGCTTGCTTAGCTCCGGAATGTCGGCTACGGTGAGTGTTGGGTTCGACATCGACTCGAAGAACAACACTTGTGTCCGTCCTTGGACGATAGCGTTTTTGACAGCTTCGTGATCAGTTATGTCGACGAAAGTGGTCGTGATGTTACAGGTTCTGGGTAAGAAATGGGTTAAAAGTGCATGTGTTCCACCGTATAGAGTCGCCGAAGCCACCACGTGCCCGCCGCCGCTGCAGAGTTGCAACAACACTGATGATATAGCAGCCATACCTGTCAGGCACGAAATCAAAATGTTAACGTCGAAGTGGACGGTTTTAATAAATATTTTAGATATAATATAATTACTTACCACTAGCGGTGCAATAGGCAGCTTCAGTTCCCTCTAGGGCCGCCAACTGACGACTGAGATTTAAGACCGTGGGGTTGAAATGACGACTATAAATGAAGAAATCATGATCAGGGCCGAGTTCACCATCGAACATGCGGCGCATAGTCTCAGGTTCCATGACGGTGAAGGTGGCGGAAGGTTCAATGGACATGTTAACGCCACCATGCTCACCAAATTCACGGCGCACGCCGGCTAATGCGGCGGCAGGGTCGTAATCCCTTGTTGGTGATGCCGCCGCCGCCCCCACCAGTGTTTGAAACATAGATTTCTCGGCCAAGAAAACATCATCCCCTGCGGTTCTCTTCTTCCCGGGGAAAAAGTCGTCGATTTGGATTCCTGCCATATTTAGGAGTGCTAAGAAAAATTAACTAAGGACTCAAATGACAATAGCAAAATTTGAAGGACTAATTAAACTTGTTAAGAAAGAAGTGATGAAGAAATACAAGTGTTGGAATGTATATATAGGCAAATAACTGGGCTAAAATAGCGGGGTTACAGATTTTGTCGGAAAAGGAAAGCATTTATGGTCAACTAGTGAACTGAAAAAGAAAAATCTCGAAATATCGTTAATCGGGGTTTTTTTTTTATCGGGGAATTTTTTATAATACGTTGTAAAAGATGATTGTATGATATGACGTCTTTTAAAAATATAATAAGACGACATGATATCTTCTATATGTATAGAGATCGAAAGATGTTATGTCTTTCGACCATCTTTCGAAAAGATAACATGTTATTTGATTATCTTCTCCGATTATTGTAAAAAAGATGGTGGTTTTAGAAGAGAGTTAAAGAATAAGGTTTAACGGAGTTAACAACCACGTCAGATAAAACTAACAGGAGATAACATCAGAGACTTTATTGAAAACGAACTAAAAGTTCAGTGACTATATTACAAGTTTTAAAAGTTAGGTGACCAAAATGCAAGCCTCCTAAAATTTCAGGGACATTTATATACTTTACCTAAAATATTATTAAACTAAAACTTTAAGGAGACTTAAGAATCTCTCTTATTTTTATATTATATAAGTGGAAAATATTGCTACAATTTTATATGGCGCGGCCAGGCACTATTGTCGTGAAAAATATGCAGAAACATAAAATAACAAAATTTATTTTCCTTTTTTGAAACACGGAGTTTCTTTTTAAAACCCTAAATTGTATTTTGCACGTTTTGTACGATATTATATATTTTTATCAGAGAAAATCAGATGCATGCAAATGCAATACATTCACGCGTAATTAAAGTAGGTAAAACCTTCAAGCAAGTTGTATTATTTTATAAAAATATGGGACCGATGCCTTTTTATTATTTTCTTTTTATTTTTTTTATTTACAGATTCATGAATATTTTCGTTTTTCATCTTTTCCAAACATGTTAACCATTTTGCTAGTAATATTTACTCTAGATATTATCAATCATTTGACCATGAATGCTCAATTACCCATGCAGTCGTTAGTACTCGAACCCATGACCTCTAGAAATAAAAGATTCCTTTAACCACTGACGTAAGTTGATTCGTGCTAGTAGCATTATTAGTTGACTAGATTATATCGAGTGTCTTTACTATTTATTAAATTTTTGATTGAATTTGTCGATTTAAATGTATCGAGTGTCTTATAAACACGTCATAGTAGGGATGAATGAGGGAAAATTGGTTGGTTGATCGTTTTTGAAAATTTCAAATTCTTATATAGTTTAAGTATTTTTTATATTTTTATTGATAATTCATTTTCATCCCAAATTTTTATATAAGTTTATCCCCCAACATAAAATATTGTGTCTTTCTTTGCTTCAAATAATTTTATACAGGGTTCGAACAATTGCGTCTACTAAATGTATGTGCATTGTTAAATGACTAAAAGAATTATAAATAAATACTATCTTATAAGTTGTAATCACCTCGTACCATTAAAAAGAATTTTAGTGCATTTAGCATGAGACAGAAAGATGCCACTGAAGAGAAAATTAAGTTTCATGACATTCTTTTTCTTTGATTGAATCAACAAAGGAATGTCACAATTTGTGCACGAATAAAAATATATATAAAAAACTAAAAATTTGGATGAAATCTAAAATCTGGAGCTACTTGTAAGAAAATAGGAATTTTGGGGTAAAAACTATAACTCAAAAGTTGAGGAACAAAACTATGAACCCTTGCAAACTCCTAAGGCTTTTCAACAAGTTTCCCCCTTTTTATACACGTATATATTTTCCTACTGTTCCGGGCTGTAAGGCCCTAGCCCTATGGATTCAAAAGAGGTTGGTGGTATAGATGAATGCAAATTTTTATGTTAGGAGTGGTGAATTTATAAAATTTTAAGGGAATATAAGCTTATAAGATTTTAAGGAGGTGAAAATAGATTTTCAACCAAAAAAAATATAAAGAAAATGTATAGAAATTTAAAATTTTAGGGGACAACTGTCCCATCCGCCCTTGCCTAAGTCAGTTTCTGGTTAGTAAGCAATCACCTTTCTGAAAATTTAAATTTTCTAATATTGATAATATGTTTATTTTTTTTAAAATTTTATAAATTCACTATTTTAAAAATGTATAAGTATGCTCAAACATAAAATCTTTTAAGTATCTCTGCACTTAACATAGGTTATACCATCCTAACAACTACCCTTTTCGGTCTCAAATGCTTGGATCAAACATCGTATGCTCACCATTTAACCATTATTGTTTAGAAACCCAAAAACCTTGAGCAATTCCCTTTCCCATTACTCATCCAACGTCTGTTACCTGTCTGAAACCCTCACTATTTCACCCAATCGCACCCCTTTCTCAGCCAAAAACGTGATTTGATGCTTGCTCTTGGCTGCCACATACTTCTTTCTCTCTCTATATCGTCCACCCTTATTCTTATTTGGGGTTAAAAGTTTTTCTAAAACTAAACAAGTGGTTGGAGGGTTAATTTTAAGCATTCAGGGACTTAATTGTTAAAATCCAAATTTGAAGAACTCAATTGAAATGAAATCAAAAGTCCAAGAGATTAAATTGAATAAATTCAGAACTTTGTGCATAAATAGAAAATGTGAAAGACCAAACTGAATGTGTGGTAAACTTGGTTGCCTACTTTGACAACCCTAATAAGTGTAAGGGCACAATGCAATTTGCCTATTTTGATAGGGTATATAACTTGGTTATTTTTCATTTTAAAAAAATTCATGTGATTTTGTATATATTTTTAAATTCTCTTTAATAAATGATAAACGTCATCGTCGTAGTTTTGTTTACGTTCGTTTAGACTGATTTCTCTACATATTTATACTTCATCTCCATTATAATCGAGCCCTGAAATCGTGTTTTGGTCGGGACATCATCCAATGTAGCAGATTTTATTTTACTCCCTCGTAGTGTGCAATCAATTTTGGAGAATACTCTGATCAAAATAATTTGACTATTCTAATATTCTGAATCATGAATCGGATCGTACAACTTATAATTAGAGTAATTGAAAGTTAGATAAATTATTTGTTTAGAGACGGCTCCATTTTACGTCTCAGACTAATGTAATTTTTGTATTCACTCTCCATTGATCCACTTCCATTCGGTATTGGCATTGCACGCAGATCGGTCGTTCAACGCAATGTCAGAGAGGATTCAGGAATCCGAATCCGAATTCAAACTGGAACTGAAAACAGGTACGCATCCGAAGCCATTGAAAGGAAAACCGAGCTCAACCAGAATGAATGAGGCAGGAAAACCAGAATCTACCTCCAACATTGCTCGTCCGGAGGTGCTTAAAGAAGGCAACCGGACTTCCAAGATCAGACGGCTAAGTGGTTTCACAAGCGACGACGCAGACGATGATGTAGCCTCTCGTAATAGGTACTTTTCAATTGATCAAAAAAGTTATTCTCTAGTTTATAATTGGATTTGACACTATTTCTTTAAAATTCGTCTCCTTAATTTACATATGTAAGATTATTAGAATTTCAACTGATCACAATAATTACGGTCTTTCTTTATTTTAAATCCCGATAATAGAGAAGGTGAAGAATTTTAGTTTTTGAATATCTATTGGCAAGCCACTACATTCAATTAAGTATACACGGCAATTCTTGTATCTGAATTTATACTTATTTATATTTTTAAGCGTGAATACTTTGTATTCTTTATATTTTAGACATTCTTAATTCTATATTCGAATTATGATTGTATTATTTTTCAACGGTGATTGTGTTTGTGCTCAGAAACGGAAGAAAGATTTTCTGTTAGGAGTAAGCATCTAAAATTTTAAGGAAAACGAACTTATAAAATTTTAAGGAAATATCTAAAATATATATATAAAAAAGGAACTTTTATCCATCCTTGTTTGTGCTCGTAAATGATATCGTTTTTCTACATTGTGACTTGTATTTTTCAGTCAAGAAAGTGCCCAACAGTCCTACCAAAACAATGCTGTGATTGAGTTGATCAATAGTGTCACCGGTGCCAATGAGGAGGGAAGGTCTCGTCAAAGGGTTCTTGTATATGCTGCCAGGAGGTACAGTCTTTTTTTTTACACTGTTGTATTGAATTTGATATCTTGCTGTTCCAGAGTCCCGCTATTCCACGGTAGTGATATCCAGTCATATTTTGCAGGTATGCCAGAGCTCTAGAGAGAAACCCAGAAGATTATGATGCTCTCTACAATTGGGCATTGGTTCTTCAGGTTTTTTATACTCATTCATTTTGATTAACATTGTTTGTACCATCTCTTCCATTAATATTTGGATAGAACAAGAGCCTTCGTTACATTGTCAACTTAAGCATATTGTAATGGTTGTAAAATGCAGCATCAGATTGTATTATATCTACACTGTTCTTATTCGACTGTCAGGAAGGTGCAGATAATGTTAGTCCAGATTCTACTTCACCTTCTAAAGATATATTGCTTGAGGAGGCCTGTAACAAGTATGCCGAGGCAACTCGTCTTTGCCCTACATTTCATGATGTATGTTTGTCTGTGTCCATGATTGACCTGTTACATCACAACAAATCTATGAGTTTTTTTACTTTTTTAAATATTGTTTCAATTACAAAAGACGTGTTGCACGCCGAAAATGCACAAGCCAGATGAGATACTGAATACACTACAGAAATGAGTCTATAGCTGTACAAGTGCATATCTATACACACCACAAAAGGAGTCTATAATTATAAATTCCTTCCGTGGATTGCATGCTTTTTTATAAATATTGTTTCAATTACTAGTATTGCATGCTTTTTTATAATCCATTTGAATGAGAGCAAAGAACTATGGAAATTGGTTCTTGACTGTGGATTTTTGGTATATGTGAATTCTAAAATTTAGTACAGACTCGTTATCCTTGTGGTAGTACTGTGTAGAAATCCTTGGCCTTCTCTAATAAATGCCTTCGTTGTAGTGAATAAAAACCTTGATGTTGTGGTTTATAAAGCATAATCTTATTGTTATGGTTTTGCAGGCAACAAAAAACTATGAAAAAGCTGTCAAACTCAACTGGAACAGCCCTCAGGTATATTTGAAGTAATTGTTAGTTAGAATGACACCATCTGTCATTTTTCTGTGAGTAATATTTAGGACTCTTAAATCTATTTCAGGCGCTAAACAATTGGGGACTTGCTCTTCAGGTAAACCATGTTTTAGTGATGTTGATATTTATAATATACTTATCTCCATTTCGCACAAATTAAATTCTGAGCCTACTTCTATGGAGGGGAGTTCTATAATGTTTTGATTTTCATTCTTTCTTGTAACTATTCTTTAGGAACTTAGCACTATTATTGTTCCCGCAAGAGAGAAGCAAAAAATTGCGAGGGCTGCTATTAGTAAGGTACGAAAGTCATTTGGAGAAATAAAGGTGTTAAGATGTCTATAGGAACAAGCAGAAAAGTAAAGTTGCACATTCTATTCTTACAATACCCTCTACTTTTATTGCAGTTTCGCGCTGCAATACAGTTGCAATTCAATTTCCATCGAGCTATATACAACCTTGGAACTGTTTTGTAAAGTTTTTTGGATTTTCTGTTTCTTGCGCTGGATGGTATGATCCTAATTGACCTATGATTCTTTTCTTTGTCAATTAATAAGATTAAATATTGGCTTCATCATCTCAATATTTCATTCAAGCGAAGCACATGTCATAACTTGAAATATCTATATTTTTAATTGCAGTATGGACTAGCTGAGGATACCATAGGAACTGGAGGCTCAACAAATCCAAAAGAGGTTTCCTCAAATGAACTGTATAGCCAATCTGCTATCTATATAACAGCTTCTCAAGCATTGAAACCGAATTAATTGGTAAGACATCCATGTATTGGTGGACCAGAGGTTTACTGAATAGGCTTATTGGCTATATAGGTAGCATAATTATTGGCCAATGAACTTTGCAGCATAAATTTACAAGAAAGTTAATGATATACTTTTTTTCCTCCTTGTTTCAAAGATTCAGAGTTATGCAATTTGACTTGCTGTTTTTGTGGATACGTTCTTAGTTGATGTTTTTAAAATGTACAGGTATACATCAGTGCTTTGAAGCTTGTTTGTTCAATGATCAGTTTTTAGTCTTTGAACTATATTCACAAAGAAATGTAATGGCAAGTGATATTGTGCTCAACTTATAAGGAGCATGATTTATTAAAAAAATGTAATGGCAAGTAGCTGCTTTCCCGTTCTTTCTTCCTCTTGTTTTTGAGCGCCTGTGTGCAATGGAATATGGTTTTTCTCAATTTTTGGTTTCATTTTTAAACTGGGAAGTCACCTGGTGAAGAGATCACTCCATTCACACTAGAATGAAATAGCTGGGAAAATTATTTTCTATTATAAGTCTGACAGAAAAATGAAAATCTTTGACAGCTACCATTGCCCTATCTTAAAGATGGGTATCTGACTGCACCACCAGTAGGAAACACAACTGCAACTCATTGTGATTGGAGGAGAACAGAGTTCTTTTTGGATCATGAAGCACTTCAACAGGTAAAAAAACTGATTGGTTTTTTCATTGTCCATGGTAAATAAATATCAAGTTTAAATTTCCTTTTTTTGCCCTAGAATGGGGATTGATTTCTTCAAGCAAAATTCACTATTTAATATCCGAACTTATGTTATTACAAGTTCCTTGGAGTCTGGAGATGTTGGAATGAATCATATAGCATGAGCAAAAATATATTTGTTGTTAGTCACTATCATAAATTCCAGGATGTTATCCATGTAAGGCAAATAATGTAAACCCGCTACTCAAGGTTGGTTTATGTGACAGGTCTATGATGGTTTATCCTTGTGACTTACATTTCCTTCCTCCACATCGTTATCTTCTATTTTCCGATTGAGTAGATCGTCAAAATTGAGGAGAAAAAAGTTTCCCGAAGCCTCTCTGGCAGAATTGCAGATGAAGCAACTGAAGAGAAAACAAGTATCAGAGTTGATATTCCAGAATCCAGATATTGTCTCTGTATCAGCATGTGCTGATCTGACTCTACCACCAGGTGCAGGCCTCTGCATTGATACCATCCATGGCCCAGTTTTCCTGGTAAGTGTCATGTTTTATATCTTCATAACTAAGAAGTTTTTAATCTTATTAAAGGAACAATATCTTTCGTACTATAAAAAAAACTCGACAGCACATACAGAAATCGAGCTTCAGTGAGTATTATCTGCTGATCTGCTCCTCTTCAGATTTCTGATTCTTGGGAATCCCTGGACGGATGGCTTGATGCCATCCGTTTAGTTTACACAATTTATGCTCGAGGTAAAACTGATGTTCTTGCAGGTATCGTTACATGCTAATTATTACAGTGAGTTTACATTTTGTCGAGATTGTTTACATCTGTCTTTCAATCTTGGTCCTATTTATCATAAAAGTTTTTGGAATTATGTAAGGTTGAGCAAACTTTTATGTCAAATTATTCCTGTGGCTCATTACATATGGGATTAGGGTCAGCTAATTTTTATTTCTATTCCATCTTCAATAAACTGCAGTTTAGTTTTTCTCTTTGAAGTACTTTGAGTAAATATATCTTAATATCTAGTCATCGATCATGTGAGTATCGTATCTTCAGAACGGCATTCGAACTGACTTAATCTTGTCTCTTGAATATTTTATCTCGAGTTAGCATCTCGAAGAAGGCAAGAATTTCATGGGGAGGATTTATTCTAGCCAAGGATAGGATTTTGGAGCAGTGAAAATCTACAGTCCTTAATCGCATATTAGTCCAGAAGCAATGACTGAAATCATCAGGTCAGCCTTCTTTGTACTCGGCATGTTATGAGTTTCACTACCTGTCAAGTGGTGATAAACAACCACAAATATCAACTATCACCGCCTCCAAATGTTTTATCTCCCACAGCCAAAAAAAATAAAATAACACCCTAATGATTGAACAATATTAACACAACAGGTTTGAAGAGGTAAACCATCGGTCATAAAATGTATTCTATTTTTAAGATAGAATTGAATTCCAACCATATTACTTAAAGAATGAAGTGAATAAATATCAAATCTTATTATTATAGAGATAAATAACGACAATTAATGTAATATATATCATGATTATGGAGATAAATGATAATAAATAATAATAAATAAATTTAATGAATTATATCAAAATAAATTTGATAGGTTTCAGTTTATCTATTTTTTTTAAAGAAAAAATAAATTCAAAGTAAATTTTATATAGAAAAGAGTCGGATAAAAATGGAATAAACACCTTTAGTTTTCAAATAAGATCAAAACAGTAAAAGAAAAACGACCAATTACTTTTGTCATGGAAATGATAGATATTTAGAGTTGGTCAACATTTTTGGTGAAGTCAAATGTTAATGTCTCAAGTAAGCAACAAGCAATTAGGGAACACATTGGATGAACTCACCCCAAGTAGAAAACAAGTAAACAACAAGGAACACGCAGGCCTTGATCTCTGTCGTTGTCAATTTCCATTTCCCATGATTTGTCACTCACCCTCGAAAATTCTTCTTTTAACCTTTTTTTTTTGTTCCATTCCATTCCCGCTATCAAATATAGTGAGGTCCCACCCTCACTCCACCACTTCATGTCACCGGTAGCAACCACCAAACCATGATCAGCCTCTACCTCACCCAACCCTCTTCATGTTCTTCATTTTCTTTCAAGCCTCCTCTCACGCCCTCTTCAATTTCAAAGCTTAAACCCTTTCATCTCCTTTCAAAAACCCAGAAAAAGGTGACAGTTTTTTACTTGATTTCTCTTTTCTTTTGATGTTTTTTATATGTTTTTGTTGCTGGGTGTGGATTGTTATAGGTGAAGATTAAGAGAGGAATATGCAGGGCGAAGTTTTCGCCTGACGCACCCCTCTCTGCCGCAATCGGCGCGTGTATGCTGAGTTCTCTGCTTCTTCCCGTCGTCGATACTAGGGATGAAGATGGTGGTGGTTCGGCTATCGGAGCAGGGGATACGAGGATTGCGGTTATGGGGATTATCAGCTTTATCCCTTACTTCAATTGGCTGGTGAGAAACTGAAAATTTTTCATTTTATTTTGAAAAAAAAGGAGCTACGGGAACTGTGGAGCTTCCTTGTTAAATTTCAAAGTATTTTAATTTTAATTTTCACTTTTTTCTTGGTTTTTGATTTGACAGAGCTGGGTTTTTGCTTGGCTTGATACGGGGAAGCGTAGATACGCCGTGTAAATTGTGTACTTGGCTCCTTACCTCAGGTATCGATTTTATCCGACTGCCAATTAAGTTATCCCGTTGCCATGAATATCTGATGTAATGCAAACTTCATTGTCTTCATAGTTTCATTTGGACAAATTTAAGAGGTGTTACTGACTTACCATCTCGTACAGGAACAATTTCGGGGGTGTGATTGCGAAAATATTGAGCTGGCCAGTGTTAGCTCAAGTGTTTTAAGTTTGGATTTGGGATTGGCAATCTTCCCTCTTCTCCATACAAGTGAGAGAGATGGTAGGATTGTTTCTTATTCCCTTATCCTGGGATGGTGTCCCTTTTTCGGGCACGCATCCAGGTGATTATGTACGGTTGTTTTGGTAACAATTTTTTGGGTAAAGTTTAGTCTTAGTGATGTTTCGGATCTTATGGTGATTATGTTTCCTCAATCTTTTCGCTGTCTTTATAAGATAATGAACTAGAATGCCAGCAATCGATTAGCTTGTTAAGCTTCTTTACTCGGAAAGGAAATTCAACTGGAGATAAGCTCCCATTGGCATCATGGCATAGGTAAAAGGGAACAAAGAGGCAACCCCCTCTATCTTCTGCATATCTTGCTCATCCGACATGGCATGAAACACGAAATCTGCACTCAGGAATCTTAATGATTCATAAAAATGCAGGATTAATTAAGTGAAAGATGTCAACCTTGTAGTTACAACAAATTCCGCAAGCAAATATCATATAGGCTAATTGACTGCAAGTTGAATAAGCTTTGCATTGTTTATTCTATCTGTTGAAGTTTTTAGATTCAAATATGGCCATAAAGTATTGGAACTTCACTGTGGTAAGTTTCGTAGCCTAATTTGATAAACCTAATGTGTTTATTTCGGGACTTACTTTTCTCCATTAAGAACCCATTTCTCTGATATTCATAAATACAACCTTCTCTTAATTATAATGTAATTTCTTCCTTTGCACCATTTCTGTCTCACCTGGTTACACTCCTAACTCCCGATGATGTAGTTGTGATTGACCAAAAAACGAGAAATAATCTTAATGTTGTATTTGTAGGCAATTGCATAAGATTGAGACTTTGGGTACCGTGCTTTCCTTGCTTTAATGGACTAGCATTTAGATTTTCTTGAACCTGGGATAATTTGGGTTAAAATGCAAGTTGACAGTGTGTGGATTTAAACATGCATTTTTCCTGTCTTAACAGGTCAAGTTTATCACTTTCCCCAGAATAGCTGGCTTCCTATTGCTAGCATAATATTCTGCATTGTTCATGTCCAGGTAAAAGATCTATCAAGATCATCACATAGACTTAGTTATATCGGTAAATGTGTCATGATACCTCATATATACACATCAATGCCGTGCCTGATGATGTTTCTTTAATTATCAATGATTTATGGACCCCTGAACTAATATGGAGCCGCGGCAACATCAGTGTTCTAGTTTTTGGTTGGTTGGTTCTAGCTTAAGGTGCCACTTTTGAGCATAAATGCATAGCATTTTGACTGCCATGCTTGTTGTCGCAGCAAGAAGCTAGTCTAAAAAACGGTAATATTCAAGGATTTCAAATATTTAACGAGGCTGCTAAGCTTCTTTCATCAAGGAGTAGAGTGGAAGATTCACATTTCGATGGACATCAAGAGCCTGAGGTATCAGGGTCTTGAGAGTTGAAACCCTTGAGAATATTTTTATCTTGTTCGAGTATCGGGTTTTATATATAATAGAAGCTATGTTTCTATTTCAGATGAGAAAAAGAGAACATGGGAATTTTCCTGATGCTGAAGAACAAGCAAGAAATGAGGTCCGGAAGTGGGGAATCCCTAGGAATCCTGGTGAACATCATGAACAGATGAAAGGAGATTGGGATGATGATGATGATGGAAGTGAACATTAGAAAAATGATCCATAAATCAGCTTCCTTGACTGTAATATCCTCGTGATTTTGCTGTTGATGGAATCTTTGTTGTAAACTCGTGTCAAATATGATCATACATGAACATGTTTGGATTACCAAAATCTATATTTTAAATTTGGACATGGTTGTTATAATTGGATCGGTAAAATGTTTAAAAAATCGAAAATCGGTAATTCAATTGGTTGAATAAGTCGTTTAAACATCGAAAACGGCAGGTAAAAACTGGGGTAAAAAAACAACTAAAAATGTTTTTTCTTCTCTCCAAAATGACATTTGTCTGGCCATTTAAATATGTTTGAGTTATAAATGCTGTTATTTTTTAGGATGTGTTTGGTTGGGAGAATGTGAGATTCACATGAGAATGAAATTCACATTCCTCCGTTTGGTTGGCCGGGAAGGTAATCTTACGTTACCAATAGTGGATTTTTTGGTGTTATTACTGGGAATGTCATTGCATTCTTTTTCTTAGGTATTGTTGGATTACCGACGTTTTAGACTAAAATGCCTTTAAAAAAAATTTCTTTCAAAAATATCTTTATTCTATCATTGCATAATAAAAATTTTACGAAGGTTAAATTACAAATTTATCCTTAAACTATTTTAGATTTACAAAAAAAAAATTATAATTAAAATTTTATATGAAGTTCAGGGGTTAAAATAAAATTTTACCCATTTATTAAACCTTTTTATATTTTTAATTTTTAAATATATATATATATATATATATATATATTATGAATTTAATTTTTTAAAGGAAATATATAAATATTTTTTAATTTGTTAAAAAAATAAATATATAATAAGGATAATTTGGTCAAATATACATTCCAATAATCTTTTATTCATTTAACCAAACACGGTAATCTTATATTCATGTTAAACCAACCAAATATAAAATACAACATTCCCAATAATCATATTTTCTGGTTATCTTTTATTACTACTGATAATCTTATATTGAATCAAATTAAATTTATCTTAGGGTTTATAAAGGTAAGGGCTTTAGGGCTTAGTGGTGAAAATTGGGAACTCAGGAAATTATGCGGGCGATTAGAAGAGAAGGGTTTAACCAGAAGCTTTTCCACCTGCCCAAAACCCTCACTAGCCCTGTCATTCCTACCTCCAATCTCATTAGAGTTCCGCCCCCCGCTTATTCTACTAGCTCACCCAACAACGTGCCTTCCAAGCGCGTGGGCACACACAGCGGCAGCTTTCACTGCGACGAGGCTCTTGCCTGTTTCATCATTCGTCTCACTACTAAGTTCCACAACTCCGAGATCGTCCGTGCAAGAGAACCCAAGGTCAGTTTTTCCCCCTTTATCTATATTTTTTCATTGTTTGATTTCCGGAAAATTGTGGCGAAGTAAGAAGATATGCAATTTATATACCGGGTTTTCTTTTGGGTCTTAAAATACAGTTATTTATATGCTTTTTCAACACTTAATTTTATTTCTTTGCTAGTTTTGATGCAAATTTCACCTATAAATTCCAAAAATTTGAAGTGTATATTCAGTTAGGAAGAAGATACAACGGATGGTTTGTTATGTGATTTTTGTAGTTTATTTTGTTCTCAGTTAGCCTGCTTGCATGCATTAAAAAAGAATCAAATGAGAGGTTGAACCAGTTGAACTAATTCAACCGGCAGTCCGGTCTGGTTTTTAATCCTTGCCTCTGTTATAAGATTGATCTATGTTGTGCAGGTATTGGAGGGGCTTGATGCTGTGGTTGATGTTGGAGGCATATACGATCCTGGTCGCGACCGGTTCGATCATCACCAGAAAGGATTTGAGGAGGTTTTCGGTCATGGATTCCATACAAAGCTTAGCAGTGCCGGGCTTGTTTATAAGGTATTCATCATTTCCATTAGGCAATTAAAGATCCCTTCTCATAGCTCTCTTCTTGTTGGTAATGTTTTCATTTTATTCTCATCCAATTTTGGTATGTTTAATACGAGCAATGATGTTTTTCGGTTGTTTATGCCATTCTCTCAATTATCAGTCGTATTTCCCTTGTATTTAGCATTTCGGCAAAGAGATAATAGCTAAAGAGCTTCGACTCTGTGTAGACCACCCGAATGTGCATAGATTGTTTCTGGCCATTTACAAAAACTTCATGGAGGTAAGTTCGTCTTTGATCCTTAAGTTTTAAAGGGTTTGAATTCCATGGATTCTGGCTGCTTTCTTCAGGACATTAGGATCATATGGTTAAACAAAACTAGCATTTGGAGTTATTTCAACTGCCCGAAACTGGTCCGGAAGAGCTTTTACGGACTATAAATTCTGAGCTTTCTTCTTTTTGTTCAGCTGATGAGTTACGATTAGTTTCGCTGTATTCTTCCTCTTCTTTTCACAGTATTTACAAATTTAGATGTTCATGCGTGATACTCTTTTCTTACTTTTCTACCAGGCAATTGACGCGATTGACAATGGAATCAACCAGTTTGATACCGATAAGCCTCCAAGATATGTGAACAATACCGACTTATCCTCTAGCGTTGGAAGGTTAAATTTAGACTGGATGGATCCGGATCGATCGCCTGAGAAAGAGAATGAGGCTTTCCAGCGAGCAATGACACTAGCTGGTAGTGAGTTCTTAGAGGTAAGGTTCAATTGAAACTAAAAACATGGCTAAATATACATGATTAGTATAGTCTTCACTGCTAGAGCCCCGGATAAAATTTTTTCCCCCTCTTCTGAAGGAATAAAGGAATTCACTGTGTTTTCGTATTTTAATAGTTCAACAACCTTCTTCAATTTACAGAGTATCCGGTTTCATGCAAAATCATGGTTACCAGCAAGGTCAATTGTGATGGAGTGCATTGCAGAGAGATATGATGTAGACCCTAGCGGCGAAATTATGGTTTTGAAAAGGTTTGCCCCGGTAAGTAGACGCTTCCAATATTTTCCTTTCTTCCTCCACTAATCCTACACAAGTACACGGTACCTCAAGTTAACGAGTCGCTTTCATATAAATATAATCCTATGTTGCTCATGCTCTTCATTTTTCTTGAAGCATCCACTTCGGATGCATATCTGAATATAGTTATAATAAGAATATGATCCACCGAGGCCTCCCTAAATAGATGAAAATCTTGGAGAAGTATATAAACATGCCCCATATCAAACTCATACTGATTCCGACACTCGAACCATTTTGATCCTTCGGTTGGTTTGAATTTTTATAATAAAAGCTGTAGTGCAATTTTCAGTAGGATCAGTGAATGCGGCTTATACACTCTTTACTTACAACTGCCTATGATTTCGTGTTCCATCCAACAGTGGAAGCTTCACATATTCGAGCTCGAGGAGGAGATGAAGGTTGAGCCTCCTATTAAGTATATTCTTTATGAGGTATATATTTAGATCTATGTTGCTCCGACTCTTCATTTTCTTTGAAGAACTTGTATTCGATACTCATGTCAGACATATTCAAACACAGTCCATCTTCCCTTCTATGACTGAATATGCAATGTCTGTGCAGGATGATAGGGGCAAACGATGGCGAGTACAGGCAGTAGCAGTATCTCCTGATAGATTTGATAGCCGAAAGCCCCTCCCAGCTCGATGGCGAGGTTTGACAGACAATGAACTCTCGAAGGAGGCAGGAATTCCGGGCTGTATTTTCGTCCACAGCAGCGGGTTTACCGGCGGAAATCATACATATGAGGGTGCTCTGACGATGGCAAGAACTGCTCTGAAAGATGTAAATAAAATCTTGGGAGATGGATTTTAGATTTCATTAACTGTGTTTCACTCAGTCGACATGGAATTGTTGACTTTGTAGAAACCAAAAGTTAAAAGAATTTGAGTATGGCACTTTCGTAATTTTGAGTTTTAACATATTTATTATCGAATTGAATTTAAATAAATTTTAACTTTGGGTAATTTCATTATAGTAAGTTTGCAAGTCAACCGCTCATGTAAAAAATAAATTATAAATTTGGATTAAGTTTATATTATCTTGATCGAATGTTTTGTGTCAAATTTATACCATAAACTAAATTTTAAATATTATATTTAAAAAACAATTCAAGACATCATAAATATGATATTAATAAAAATATATTGAATATTGAAGAATTATTTATATATGTGTTGTTATTTAAATATTAAACTAAACTAAAATAACCGTACTTTATTAAACTATTTATTTATTTAAAAATTATGAAAAAAGAATTTATATGAACAAAAGTCATTATTTCAAGACTATTTTATCTAAAATAATAAGAATCGATAAATATATAAAGAATTAGTTGAAGTAATATTCTCACTATTTGAACATAAGAATCTTACTATTAATAATATTCTTTTTCATATAGTGAAAATAAGAGCAAAACAAACATAAAAGTAAGATTTTGAATAAAAATATTATCCTTAGTAAAGATTTTTTTAGTGAACTACATACATCCTTTGGGCAATCCATACGCAGAAATTCATGTTAGAGGGTACGAATATAAGAAATTATGTTAAAAATTTTAAGTGATGCAAAGTTATAAAATTTTAAGGGTACGAAACTAGATGATAAATAAAAAATATAAAGAAAAAACCTAAAATATAAGGGAATTTAAAATTTCTAGGGGTATGGTCCCCCTCAATCCATCCTTAATTTTGGAAATTTTTTATATTTTAAGGCTTAATATGTAAAAAAATTGTCTAAACTATCCATTTTTTTCTCATTCAAATGCCTAAACTATTTTTTATTAAATCCAAGCACCTAACGTTACAAATGTTACCACTTTAAGTTCTTCGATTTCGATTGTAATGACCTTTAAAAAAGTCTGTTTTAAGTGACATGTGTCACATTCAGGAAATTTAAAAAATAATTTATTTAAAAAAATTCAAAATATTCTTGCATTTAAAAATACCCCCATTTTCTTTAAAATTACAAAAACCCTAAAATCCTAAAAATTATTAAATTCAACCCTAAAATCCCTAACACTAACCTTACCATCTCCATTGTTGGCCACAACAGTCATTGCCTCCGCCACCATTAGCATCTCTCTTGTTGGTCGTCGTCGGCCTTACCGTCGTACATATCGTCGGATCGTATGAATGTCCCGATTTTGGGGATTTGAGTTCACCGTTTGGGGTTTGACTTCGTAAGAGACGTCACGTTTCTAGGTTTTAGGTCATCTGGTTTTGGCTTTTCATCGGGTGGAGATTCTGATGAAGGTTCGGTCGACGATAACGGCAACAAACAACAATGACAGACATATGCATAGGCATTGAAATTATAGTTTTCAAAGTTTTAGGGCATTTTTAAGATTTGAGAAACTTTTGGATTTTTTTAAATATATATATTTTTAACTTTTTAAAATATATTTTTTAAAATTATATAAATGTGACATGTGTCACTTAACAAAAAAAATAACAATTATTACGACTTAAACACTTAAAATGGTAATGTTTATAATATTAGACACTTAAATTGGTAATTGTTGAGTTAATCGATCGAGTAAATAGCCAAAAATGGGGTGAATTGGCAATAAATTTTTTGGTGGAAACTTTTGCAGAAAATAGAAAATAATTACACAACGATTTAGAGTGGTTCGACTTTCTCAACCAAAGTCTACGTCCACTACCTTAGCTATCCACACTAAGGATTTTCTATAAATTCACTAATTTGTCTTTCTTTTGAGGACAAAGAATAACCGTACAAATCCCTCAAGAATTATACCCCAAATTCTTGAGAACACTCTCTCCTAAAGAGAAATACACAAATTTGTAAACTTACAGAAAAACCTCACAAGGCAAGATGTTTGCACAATTCTAGAACAAAGAAAGAATACTCAAAGATGAATACAATTGAGTACAACAAATGTTCTTGAAAGCAAAATGAATATTGAATGGAAAATAGGCTTGAAATGCTCAAACTTGATGTTTAAGGCTTTCTCTTTGATTCTCTCTCAATTCTTGTTGATCAATGACTTCTAAGCTTGTTTAAATACACATTGGATCACTTCTGAACGTTGGAGATCATTGGTTAAGTCAATATAGTCGTTATTGTGTAATTATCTTTTAAAAATCTGGTTAGAAGCGTAGGTGCATCGGTACACTGTGTGTAAGATTCAAATATTTCGACTGTTATAAGACCTAGTGCATCGATACACTAATTACATTTGATGTTTCAAAAGAGTCAGGAGTGCATCGATGCATGGTCTGTGCATTGGTACATAAAATACATTCGACGTTTCAATAAAATCAGGAGTGCATCGATGCATGGTTGTGCATCGGTACACAAAATGCATTCGAATTAGGGTGTGCATCGATACACCAAATAGTGCATCAGTACATCCCTTTATAAAATTGATTTTTGGCTCGATTTTGGTTTGAAATACTTTGCAAAATTGTTTCAAAAATATTTTAAGTTTGAAACACAATTTTTACACTTTAGTAAGGTTTGAAATTGATCTTTGAAAAACTTGGAGTAATATTTTGATATTCGAATATACTTTAAAAATGATTATAAAATCTTAAAATTCATTTATACTTAATTTGTTATATCAAAACATCAAAATATTTTCAACAATAACTTTTGTAACATTAAACACTTAAATTAATCGAAAAATAGTTTAGGCACTTAAAAAAAATAGAGCTTAAGCAGATATTTTTATACTAAGCCTTCAAATAATTAGAGAATGATTCCAGGGCCAAACATTAAGGGCGAAACTAGTGTCGTGGTATCATAGTACCCTCCCACGGTACTGACGGCGTTCGATTCCTCAACCAAAGTCTACGTCCACTACCTTAGCTATCCACACTAAGGATTTTCTATAAATTCACTAATTTGTCTTTCTTTTGAGGACAAAGAATAACCGTACAAATCCCTCAAGAATTATACCCCAAATTCTTGAGAACACTCTCTCCTAAAGAGAAATACACAAATTTGTAAACTTACAGAAAAACCTCACAAGGCAAGATGTTTGCACAATTCTAGAACAAAGAAAGAATACTCAAAGATGAATACAATTGAGTACAACAAATGTTCTTGAAAGCAAAATGAATATTGAATGGAAAATAGGCTTGAAATGCTCAAACTTGATGTTTAAGGCTTTCTCTTTGATTCTCTCTCAATTCTTGTTGATCAATGACTTCTAAGCTTGTTTAAATACACATTGGATCACTTCTGAACGTTGGAGATCATTGGTTAAGTCAATATAGTCGTTATTGTGTAATTATCTTTTAAAAATCTGGTTAGAAGCGTAGGTGCATCGGTACACTGTGTGTAAGATTCAAATATTTCGACTGTTATAAGACCTAGTGCATCGATACACTAATTACATTTGATGTTTCAAAAGAGTCAGGAGTGCATCGATGCATGGTCTGTGCATTGGTACATAAAATACATTCGATGTTTCAATAAAATCAGGAGTGCATCGATGCATGGTTGTGCATCGGTACACAAAATGCATTCGAATTAGGGTGTGCATCGATACACCAAATAGTGCATCAGTACATCCCTTTATAAAATTGATTTTTGGCTCGATTTTGGTTTGAAATACTTTGCAAAATTGTTTCAAAAATATTTTAAGTTTGAAACACAATTTTTACACTTTAGTAAGGTTTGAAATTGATCTTTGAAAAACTTGGAGTAATATTTTGATATTCGAATATACTTTAAAAATGATTATAAAATCTTAAAATTCATTTATACTTAATTTGTTATATCAAAACATCAAAATATTTTCAACAATAACTTTTATAACATTAAACACTTAAATTAATCGAAAAATAGTTTAGGCACTTAAAAAAAAAATAGAGCTTAAGCAGATATTTTTATACTAAGCCTTCAAATAATTAGAGAATGATTCCAGGGCCAAACATTAAGGGCGAAACTAGTGTCGTGGTATCATAGTACCCTCCCACGGTACTGACGGCGTTCGATTCCCTGGATGCGTACTTTTGTTTTTCAGATTTATTTATTTATTCATTCTATTTAATGAGCTTACTGTATTTTATAATATAAAATAAAATTTTCATTTTTCAAATGTCCTCTCAAGTCCAATGAATTGGGCATCTTGAGTTAGTCCGTACATCTTAATAATGTAAACGTGAAAATAAAGCCAATCAAACAAAAGGAATCCAAAAAATAAGAGATACTCCATCATCTACGTACATAAAAATTACAATAAAAAATATTATAAACTTTTATTATTTTTTAGATTAAATATAATAATATTTTAGATTAAAGATCATAGGTTATCGAACAAGATAACTACCCATTTGAAGGTGAGTGAGACTTACCTATATGCATCCTCACTTGCCGACCACAAACAATCATCGTCCTAGCTTTTGGAGGTCCATTATGGACCCTCTCAGCAAATGATTTTGCTTTAACTCTGGGAAACCATGTGCTCTGTTTCTAAAACATAATTTCAACGTCGAATTCTATTTTTTAAAAACCGAGTTTAAATTGAGGTAAACATTTTATAATAGGAGAATAATTTTATTTGGGACGTCCTTGTGTTTACTAAAATGTGATATTTGGTTCTTAATAATAAGTTGATGTCTTGTGTTCTTTTTCTGGCAATCGCTGGCAATATATATTTCCAGCTACATGGTCTTCCATTTGGCATAGAATATGATTTTTTTTTTAATAATCTTGGAGTTTTAAAAAATTAAGAGATAACAACATTCTCTTTTATTACTTAAATTACTTAATAAGTTCATAAATTCTAGATAAAATATCAGTTTGACTATTGAATTTGATTGAAATCTCTACATCACGAGTCACTTTTTTTTATTAATTGTCGATTGT